TTGAGCCTCGCACTCGGTGATCGTGAACAATACACGACCTTCGTCGAAATCATCGACAAGGTGTGAGACATCATCAAGACCAACCGGGCTGCTGCACACAAGAAATCAGTGAGGCAGTCACCCTATGTGGAGAAGAGAAGATTTGGTCCGGGTCCGCAGCCCCGGCCAGCCCGTCGATGCAGTCCAATCGGACAACATTGTGGAAGACCTTACAGCCACCCCAACATCATGTGAGGGGGATTAGGTAGCCGCTTCCAGCCACAAAGCAACAACAACTCCTGGGGAAAAGGGAGGGCGAAAACCACATCGTCAACCGAAAACGAACAGCCAGTACCACGGATCAAGTTTAACTTGACCGCGACCGAATACAAGTGGCGAGGCCGGTATGGCTGTTTCTATTGGTGCAACAACGCCAAGCATAAGACCTCCCAACGCCAGGATCAAGGCAAGGAGGACGTTCGACCCTGATTCAGCTCGGAAAACTGAGTTGCGCAGAAGGTGAGGCGACTCCACCTCTCACTCCGCCAGATTCGGCCGCCTTGCTAGCGGCCTCCTACACATCTGAGGAGAATGCGAATGTCGTGAGTCCTCGGTTCACTTACGAGGATTACGCTGTCCACTTGATCCCACCGTTGGACCAACCACTCCATGTGCAACAATCCACCGCATGCACGGTTTCATCACCATCGGCAACCGATTTGGTAGCTTCGCTGCCAACTTCAGCCGGGGATTCGACGTCACAATGCCTGCACCTCACCCTTCGATCAGCTGCCACGTGGTGTACGCCACAAGCATTCGAGCTTCCATCACCAGGGACGACATCGAGGAGATGGGGGGGTGTTTTCTCCACGCCCTCCCTCCCCAGGACACCCCCATCGATAGACGCATCGACGGACCCACGCATTACCGAGCTTCTCAACGCCTACGGCGACGTGTTCAAAGCCCCGCACGGAGTAGTACCGGATCGGCCCATCCGCCACAAGACCATCCTCGAGGTGGTTGCATCTACTGCATGAGCGAGGAAGAGTTGAGTGTGCTACGGACACAACTCGACGACCTTCTTGAGAAAGGCTGGATTCGGCCTAGCTCTTCGCCATACAGTGCTCCCGTTCTCTTCGTCCTGAAGAAGAACAAGGACTTGCGGTTGTGAATCGATTATCGCAAGCTCAACGCGCAAACCGTCAAGAAAGTTGGCCCTCTTCTGCGCATCGATGACCTCCTCGAATGGCTGGGCGGCGCTAAGTTCTTTCCAAATTGGACCTCAAATCGAGATATCACCAACTCTAGATCTGGCAGGAGGATCGCTACAACACCACGTTTAAGATACGATATGGGCATTTCGAACGAATGGTTATGCCTTTTGGCCTTACAAATGCCTCGGCCACGTTCCAAGGGGCTATGACAACGGAGTTCCGAACATGCTGGATAAATTTGTACTCATCTACCTTGACCATATCTTGGTGTACAGCCGAAGTTTGGACGAGCATGTGGAGCACCTGCACATTGTTTTGGAACAGCTACGACAAACCAAGTAAAAACTCAATCGCGACAAATGCGAATTCGCGCAGCAAGAGCTAGAGTACTTGGGCCATTTTCTGACCCTTCGTCCAAACAGACCGAGACCGAAAGTCTATTCGGACGAACTTCAAATCTGAATTGATGCCAGAACAAACAAAAATAGGACAGCAAATAAATTAAAACAAATAAATGAACGCTGCCTCGAGTCGAATCCTACGGCCCCAAGGCCGGCCGTGGGCCTCCAAGGCGCACGTCCGAAGGGCATGCGGCCTGGGCCCCTCCATCAACCGTCGGGTCCCCAAAACGGGGCCCGTGTGCGGGCTCAACATGTAACAACTCTCGTGTATGGGAGTTCCAAACATGCTGGATAGATCTGTACTCATCTACCTCGACGATATCTTGGTGTACAGCCGAAGTTTTGACGAGCATGTGGAGCACCCGCGCACTGTTTTGGAACAGCTACGACAAACCAAGTAAAAACTCAATCACGACAAATGAGAATTCGCGCTGCAAGAGCTAGAGTACTTGGGCCATTTTGTGGCCCTTCGTCCAAACAGACTGAGACCGAAAGTCTATTCGGACGAACTGCAAGTCCGAATTAACGCCAGAACAAACAAAAATAGGACAACAAATAAATTAAAACAAATAAATGAACGCTGCCTCGAGTCGAATCCTACGGCCCCAAGGCCGGCCGTGGGCCTCCAAGGCGCACGTCTGAAGGGCATGCGGCCTGGGCCCCCCCAGCACCCGTCGGGTCCCCAAAACGGGGCCCATGTGCAGGCTCAACATGTAACAGCTCTGGTGTATGGCCTCGTGGTAGTGTTGTTCTCTTCGCCTGCTGCCATGCGAGGCAGGCCACTGACATCCTTTCTCGTTTTGGTGTCTGGAGGCCGTGGGTTTCTATATTCTTTGCTTTTTGGTTCTCTCGTTTTGGTGCCTGGACGTCGTCCTTTTCTTTCTTCTCTGCTTTTTGGTTCTGCATGTATCTGGCATTCGAACCCAAGCCAGGTACAGGGGCTATCTTTGTGGAGACTGCACGTGGGGTGGCAAATATTTCTTCTGCCCGCCAGAGTGGCAGCCCAATGCTGTTTCACTTTTTCTTTTTCTGGCATTCGAACCCAAGCCAGGTACAGGGGCTAGCTTTGTGGAGACTGCACGTGGGGTGGCAAATATTTCTTCTGCCCGCGAGAGTGGCAGCCCAACGCTGTTTCACTTTTTCCCTCCCTTCTTGTGTCCGTACTTTCTGCACCTGTGCATGTGTGTTTCGACATGCACAGCATGTGGAAACAGCCGAGGAAATAGCATACTCCATTTGCCACCGGCTTCCTCCCTGGCCCATTGCACCACCGGGCCTTCCCCATGGCCCAAACTGTTTGGGGTGGGGACGAGTTCATTTTCTGCAAGGCCAGGGTCATGTACTGGTGGTTTAAAGCACCAGTACACCACATCTCGGCCCGCGGGTGTCAGCATGAAACCCGCACCACTTCGGAGGCTGCCGATTTTTTTTTCCAACGGCGGGCCTGGCCGCACGGCGCCTCCAAGTTTCGGTTGTGGCAACAAAAACTTTCTGCGAGGCTGGGACCGCGGACTAGCGGTTTAAACCACTAGTACTTGGCGCAGCTATTGGTCATGGAAAAAAATAAGAGTAGAAACATTTCGAGTCGGATGAATTTGGGCGCTACTGTAGTGGCCCGTATGTGTCCTATAATCGTGGGTTGCTAACGGGCATGGCTTTAGGAAGTACTGCTGGTTTAAGTCATATTCTCTCCCTTTCAATTGTTGTGATGAATTGTGAAGCCTGACAAGTTAGCGCTGAGGCATCTTTTGCAACTTTTCTTAACACTAAGCGCTTCAGACATCCTCACACATGGGACTTCTTCAAGTGAATTTGACTGCGATCACAGCCACATACATCCTGGACAGCCCCAGACAGTTGATCACTTACGGACGCGCGACACCCTCACAAAAGGACTTTGTCCAGCGAATTTGACTGTGATACATCCCGGAAAGCCCCAAGTGTTTGTCCTTAGAAGCCCAACTTCCCTTTGGACATCCTCAACCATGAAATTCTTAAAAACTTCAGAAGTGAATTCGACTGTGATCACTGTCAAATACATCCTGGAAAGCCCCAGACAGAATCTAGGCTACCAGAGTGGCCCAAGACCACTTCCCGCCACGCCACAAAAAAAAAACAACGTTTTTTTATTTTTATTTTTTTAAGTGACCAGTTTCCCCTGTGGACTTCCAGGTATTTTATTTTATTTTTAATTATTATTATTATTATTTTTTAATACAACGACAGGAAACGGGCCTGGCATCCCTCACAAAAATTCCGTGGTACGGTTTCAGGGCGAGACATTGTCGGTCACGCCAAAGAACAGGGCCAGTACACACCACAAAAACCCATGTCGAAGGAAAAATCACAGGAAAGAGAAACGGAAAAAGAAGATTTTCCCATACTCGTACATACCGAAGAAACGGAAAAAGACGAGAAAAAAAAGACCAGTTTCCAACACGGGAAAGAGAAACGAAAAAAGAAGAGAAAAGAGAAAGACCAGTTTCCCATACTCGTACATACCGAAGGTTCAGAAGAGGACAGACGCCAACCATATTGTTAGTTTCTCCAGCCATCCCAAATGATGTGACGCTGGGCCAAAAGTTGTTCAGTTTATTTTTCTGCATAACATAATTGTCTTTCAAAAAATTTTGACTTGTTCTTTTTTCTTTTTTTTTGCTGGGACCTTGGTCCTTGCACGGCCGGGCAGCCCAGGTAAACAAGGTGACCCGGGCAGCTTGGCTGGTAGCCTAGGACAGAACACTTTTGCAACTTCTTCAAGACTTACGGACGTGGGACATCCTCACAAAAGGACTTCCAGTGAATTTGACTGTGATCGCAGTCAGATACGTCCTGAAAAGTCCCAAGTGATGTCCTTAAAAGCCCAACCTCCCATTGTCGTTGCAGTCTTGGAGTTTTACCATCTACGCGCCAGATCCCACTGGCAAAGCGGATTGCAATGATTATTATGATTATAATGATTATTATGATTATTTTAACGGTATTATTATTATTATTTAAGAATGCCACATTTCATGGTTTAACACAAAGAAATGATAATTATGATTATTATGATTATTATGATTATTATTATTTAAGAATGCCACATTTCATGGTTTAACACAAAGAAATGATTATTATGATTATTATGATTATTACGATTATTTTACCATTATTATTATTATTATTTAAGAATGCCACATTTCATGGTTTAACACAAAGAAGATCAACACGGTAAGGAAGGAAGAAAGACGAGTGCGTAAAGAGGGAAGGGAGTGCTAAGCAAAAAAAACTAAGAAAAAAGAAAAGAGTGAAAGACGCCAATCAAGCACCAACCTAACCGCAAAACCATTTCGCCACAGGAAGAGCTACAACATGCGAACACAAACAGACATGAGATGCCGCATTGACATTGCAAAGCACTGAGGAGTCAAAAACACGAAGTACGCCAAGGTCCAGTTTCCACCTCCCCTTCCCCTTGCCCCCAGTCACCACCACACATACACACACACACACACACCAACAAAGATAAAAGATGTGAACTTTCAGTCAGAAAGCACCCATCAGAATACAACCATCATTATGGTGCGTCAGCAACAAGCTCCATTCCTCTCGCTCCCGATGATGAATTGAATTGAACAAAACGCGGCCGCTACACAACAGTTATGAGCAGCATATTATTTTCTTGCTGTATCGAGTTGCGACTGTTCGTACAACCGGTACAAATGCCACCGGAGGTAATGTACAAAGTCATCTCTCTCTCTCTCTCTCTCTCTCTCTCTCTCTCTCTCTCTCTCTCACAATCAATCTCTCTCTCTCTCTCTCTCTCTCTCTCTCTCTCTCTCTCTCTCTCTCATACACACACACACGCACACCTCTCTCTCTCTCACACACACACACGCATAGTTGTATGCACACACAGCTAGTACCCTAGGGCGCTCTACCAGTGCGAAGATTTGCCCAATTTGACCAAGAATTTACAAAAAATGGGAAAGCATGAGTAGACGACCTCATCGTTGCCATCCAGCCTCAAGGTGAGAGATCTTCCCTCCTCTTCGTCACATGCCACCATTTGTCACAGACGATGGGACGAAGTAGAATCCATGCCATGACGGCAAACAGTAAAAACTGATTCCTGCGTGATTGTTCGTGAAGGGCTTGACTTCTCTCCTTTTTTTTGTTGTTGCGAAAACAACTGGACCACTTGTCGACTGTTATGCGTGTCATCCTTCCTCGCAGGGCCCATGCTTTTCTCTTCTCAATCTTTCCGCCACTCAATCATGCTCCCCATCCCATCATCAAGAATACTTGGTGATGTCCTGCCAAAATGCTCCTTGTGCCTCTGCACTCCTCCACGCAGACGGCACCCAGTCATCCTCCGTGGCAAAAAACATTTCATTCCAAATAACTTTCGTTCCGCACCGGTATCCCTTCTCTCGCTGACAAGGGGGAGATCTTCCCTTCCAGATGCGATTGCAGGTTTGCAGGTCTGCAGCCGCAGCGCCCTTCAGGCCTTCTGTGTACATAAAGTCGGAAACAGCAACATCCTTCTCAGATTACACAAAACCATCAACACAGGGAATTTGCAAGGCCCTTAGTCACTTTTTTTTGTTTTTTTTTTGGGACCGTTTCTCGATTTAGGGGCCACACCTTTGACAAAGAAATGGATGCCTTTTTAAAGTTTTTTTTGTAATTTGGACCGTTTCTCAATTTAGGGGCCACGCCTCTGACAAAGAAATGGACTAGTCATTCAATGGGTGAATGTGTATGTGTTTTTTTTTTAACCCCAAATTATCTCTCTCTCATTCCATCCCTGAATCATTGCAGACCGTCCGTAAAACAAAAAAGTATAGATAGACAGTATAGTAGAAGATGCAAGGTTGGGCACGTTTGTGTGGGTTCAGCGCCAAGTGCCCACACACCCGCCTGTGTGTGTGTGTGTGTGTGTGCGTGTGTGTGTGTGTGTGTGACTAAGTGTGTGTGATACCGTCCATAAAACAAAAAAGTATAGATAGACAGTATAGTAGAAGATGCAAGGTTGGCCACGTTTGTGTGGGTTCAGCACAAGTGTCCACACGCCCGCCTCTGTGTGTGTGTGTGTGTGTGTGTGTGTGCGTGTGTGTGTGTGTGTGTGTGTGTGTGCGTGTGTGTGTGTGTGTGTGTGTGCGTGTGTGTGTGTGTGTGTGTGCGTGTGTGACCAAGTGTGTGTGATAAACCTTCAGCATATTGATATTCTGACAGCATACTCACCCTCGGACTTTCCTGAATGTATCTGCCTGCAATCGCGACCTGTCCTGGATGTACCTGACCACAATTACTTCCCAAGTTTGGTAAAAAAAGTCCCGATGTGAGCAGGCCCTGAATACTCCCCTTGACAGCGAAAGAAATTGTTTGATGCATGAAACCGGTGAAACACAAATGACAATCCTCATTGCAAACAAATGTTACAATCTTGGTCATTCCCAAAGTGGAAATTCACAATGAAAGACGATGCCACCCAATTGCAAAAGAAATGAAAGCACTTTGCAAAGAGATAGAGACCAAAGAAGAGAGAGAAGAAGAAGAAGAAGGAGAAGAAGAAGAAGAAGAAGAAGAAGAAGAAGAAGAAGAAGACAAGGTTACATGTTGCGGCTTCGCCCACAAAAAAAAATGAAGGGAAAAGGGTGCAAATGAGGGTGGATAGGGGTCTGCTGGTCGGGTGTGGGTTTTGGTGGGGTCGGAGTGGTTTTTAGGCTCACCCGTGCATTGTTGTTGACACTGCCGATGGAATGCTGCTGCAACTTTGTAAGCCTTGGATATATATATATTTTTTCTTTTTTTCTTTTTTTCCCTGTCAAACACCTGATCACAGTTTGCAATCCTTTCAGTTGAGGTTTGCTGGGTTGGTGATTGTCCGGATTTGAACTCACCTGTTGTGTGTGTGTCACACTTTGCATACCTGTCTCCCGCTAACCAAAAATATTCTTTCTCAGATGTCTGGAGATCCGCAATTCTGCTATCGTGTGGGGGGGAGGGCGCGGGGCGCACAGTTAGTTAGATTGGTCTCTCTCTCTCTCTCTCTCTCTCTCTCTCTCTCTCTCTCTCTCTCTCTCTCTCTCTNGCGCACAGTTAGTTAGATTGCTCTCTCTCTCTCTCTCTCTCTCTCTCTCTCTCTCTCTCTCTCTCTCTCTCTCTCTCTCTCTCTCTCTCTCTCTCTCTTGCATGCCCAGTTGGGCGATGTACATGAATAACCGAGGATCCGCAATGTGATGAAAAGGACTGAATGGACAATGCAGTGCAAGTGAAATGTCAACAAGCAGTGTACATCCTGATACATACAAAAATGGTGCTTTATAGCGCAGTGGAAGACTTAGATACAAGTCCTGACCTGACCGGGACTGACCTCTCTCACGTAGTGCAAGACAGCGCAGCAGAATGCTAGAATACTTATGACTAGCCCAATCAATGTCGCAGTACAGACCAAACATACATCATCCTCGTCACAAGGTGTGAAGGGGCCTGGCGCTACACACAGGAAGAATGCGGCAGGTCCAGTCCATACACAGACGAAGAGGAGGGGAGCAGACGAAGAAGAAGGGGGAAGATGGAAATGTCGTCAACACCAAGTCTTCATTACAAGTCCCAGATAATCCCTCGTCAAATGTCTGCAGCCCAATGTCGAGTCTGGATCCGAATGTCACCAAGCCCGCTCTCTCATAGTCTGCTGATGCAGTGAAGTCAGGTAGCGAGAGGGTGAGAGGGAGATGGTGGACTGAGAAGAGGAAGAAGAAGAACTCTCTCTCTTTCATGTGCCAGGTACTAACCTGTGAAGATTGCGCCGTGCTGCAGGTACCTCGAAGGCGAAGCTGGAGCTATGGCGCTGCAGGGAAGTCTCCCTGCCCTCCGCCCAATCCCTCTCTCTCTCAGGTACTACTCTAGCTCCTAATAGCGCCCAGTGCTGACGACTACTGCTAACGCTACTAGTGCCCAGCGCTCAAGACTACGGCTAGCGCTGCGCACCTCCAGAGTGCTGCTGCCGGATCCTGAAGAGTACCTCCTGCCTCATGAACTGCACGTGAAGTGCCTGGGAAGTACCTAGGAACTACCTGCAGCCTGCAGGGTGGGCCAGTCATATATAGTGCTGGCCCGTCCAGGAGGCTGCTCTTGCCAATGCCAAAACGTGCCAGACCCTGGGGTTGAAGCTCAAACAAAGGTTGTCTTGAAAATAGGCCAAAGGCTGAAATGACAAAGGGCCTGTACGCCCTTGTTTTCAGGCTTTCGGGCTGAAACTACACAGGGCCTGTAGGCCCTTGTTTTCAGGCTTTCGGGCTGAAAACGACACGGGGCTGAAAATGGCCCGCGCAGCCTGTTGCAGGCGCAGCATGTAACACCCCCCCCTCCTTATGAAGTCAAGCCGGGTCGACGGCGAAGCTGACGATCTGAAGGTGGAACCTGGACGCGGGTGCGACGTGGAGCCGAAGATACTGGCTTGCCTTGCATCTTGCCTTCGTGCTTGGAGCTCCGCACGGATCAACCAACGGTCAGCTTTGTGAGTGCAGTACGCAAAGTGTACCGAGTACTCAGTTGGCCTGTTACCGTAGTGTCACTGGGAGATGTCGCCGACCTCTTGAAAATCGTCCATAGAGGGTGGGTCTTGCGATCGTCGCCCGGGAAAATCGTCATGTTCCGCTGGCATGTAAAGAGCCAACTTGGAGCAATGAAAGACCAGGTAGACAGGCAAGTGGGCGGGCACCTGAATGGTCGACAAAGGTCCTTCAGGTGCATCCCCAGTGGGTGCCACGATCGCCCAGGGCCCCATCCATTTCGGGAGGAGCTTGCGAGAGATATCTTGTTCAAGGCTGAACTCCATGGCGGAAACCCAAACGAGATTGCCGGTGCGGAATGGCCAAGGAAGACGCTGGTGATTGGCCTGTTGGCTCATGCGTTGCTGCATCTTAGCCATCTGGTCGCGTGGCTTGACAAGTATTCTTGCATCCGACGCAAGAAAAGAAGATGGTCGTCGCTCTCGACCGTTCGTGGAATGATTGTGTCCAACGGAGAAGTGACTGGCGAGCCGTGCTCGAACTTGAAGGGCGACATCCCGATAGCCGGGTGGATGGACTAGTTGTATGCCAACTCGACATCCTGCAGCCGCTCGACCCAATCCTTCTGGTCGGGACGGATGAGAGTGCGAAGGTGAACCTGTGCGGTTTGATGCGCCCTCTCCGTTTGGCCATCGGTTTGGGGGTGACGAGCCGAACTTGGCTTGAGAGATGAGCCCCATTGTTTGATGAGCGCCAACCAAAAATCGGACATGAACAAAGTATCATTGCAGACAATTTTCTTGGGTTAACCCTTGGTTCGAATCCAACCGGCGTAAAGAACTTCGGCCAACTACTTGGTGAGTCGGTCGACCACCGTGAGAATCCCATCCACACCGGTCTTGTGTTTGGGGAACGGCCCGGTAATATCCATGGCAATCACTTCCCTTCGGCGCAAGGGGACCGGTAATGGTCGCAACTTGCCGTACGAACGATGTTGCGAGATTTGCAGCGTCGACAAACCTCACATGGCTCGCAATAGCATGAAACGTCGCCGAGAAGGCCGGGCCACCAAAATCGTTCGCGAAGTCGGAGCCGTGTACGCAAGTGAGAGTCACTCGGTACGCAAAGAAGGTCCTTCCCCCGCGTGTGGACAAGCAAGTACCCCTCTTGGATCTGGTAGTGAGAAGGTGCCGGATTTGGAGAGGAGCAATTTGCATACTTGTCGAGAAACTCAGGGTCGTCTTGGTAGTCGTGGATGAAACTGTCTCGCAGTTCGTAGTCAATCTTGAAGGTCGAATAGACAATGGTACAATGATCCGGACGTCGTGAAAGAGCATCCGCAAAACGGTTAGACTTCCCCGGAATGTGATCGGGAAAGAAGTCAAAATCGATGAAAGCCATCCATCGGGCGATGGTGCTATTGACGGTGTCTTGGGTCTTGTAGAAGGACCCATCGGAATTGACTTCGACCAAGGAGGAAGTGTCGCCACCACATGAGCGCGTGGACGAAGACTAGGAGCTCTTCTTGCGTGCATCATCAATGGAGTGCACGACGGGCACTTTCTTGCTGAAGTACTCGACCGGGTGCCAGTCCACGCTATCATGTTGTTCGAGGACGACACCAATGCCATAGCCGGACGCATCCGTAGTGACGCATGTTGGTAATAGCGGGTCGTAGATTCGCAAGACCTCCCCAGATAATAGCGCGACTTTGAGAGCCAAAAGTGATTCCCACGCATCCTCTCCGAAGTCGAACAGCCAATCCTCGCATTGAAGCTTGGTCAAGTGGGCCGCGATCTTCGAATATCCCTTGATCAAACGTTGGTAGTAGCTGGCAACGCCAAGGAACGAATAGACATCCGTGAAGTTTTGCGGCTCCGTCCACTCTTGGATGGCTTGAATCTTGTCCGACAACGGACTGATGCCCTCCGGTGTGACAAAATGGCCCAAGTATTCCACCTCTTGCCGGACAAATTCGCACTTACCGGTTGGC